AAATAAATTCAAACTTGCACAACTAATTCATTTTTTAAAGACACTAAAGATGCATGCTATACAATCACTCCATCTTGGAAAAAGGAAAGCTCAAAGAAATCATTAAAAGCCTCACATTACCTTCATGACCATGATGAGTGCATGCAAACTTTAGACCATAACTTTATGTGTTTATCATTGACTGACCTGGTTGTGTAGTCTGGCTCTGTGGACTCTGCCCCACCTTACCTGGAAGAACAAATAGGAACAAATATCAAAATGAGGTGCATTGCAAAATTTGATTTTACTGTCCAGCTATTACCCTCGCTAAGCTTGTTGCAGACACTCACCTCCCAGCACCCGAACAAGTCCCTCAATCACAAACAGGATCTGCTTAATGTACATCAGGTTCTTTGCCTTCAATCTGCTCCTGGCATTTAAGAAACAAAAATATCAATACAAAGAAGGAGAGACTGCGATCAATTTCCGAATAAGCGAATTTTCTGAGACTCACTTATAGCGGTCAGCATACTGGCTGAGCTGGGAGTGAGCACGACAAAGCTGCAGAAAATTGAAACATTAGAACATCACAAGGAAGAATCGTCTCAGAAATCTGTATTTTGTGCACGTTATAGAATAATGTATTCACCTGTGCTCCACTGAGCTCTGCACTGTGTATACAGGAGAGAGTGTCACTAAGGTTATGAGCTTCATCTATGATCAACACCTGTAAAAGATACCCCAACAACTTTTTTAAAATATCCCTTTATCACTCAGTCATTTGGTTATATTTGTATCCATTATTTTCAGATAATACAATTGAAAAGAGAAAAAAATATATTTCTTAATACTGCCAAGATATTTTAAACACTTATTTTTCTATATTTTTAAGAGAGGAAGAAGAATACCAGACATATAATTGTACCTGTCCCTTTAGCTGGACACCTGCTGCTCGTCTTGTAGCTTCATGAAGCACCATTTGATAAGGTAACACAACCAGCTACACCAACATAAACAAACCACAAAGACATTAAATGAAAACCAGATCTTGTGGGAGAAATACAGTAACCAAGTAGCTCTTGTTGACAAATCGACTGGCGACTCAGTTACCTGTGCAGGGGGAATAGCGAGACGTGTAGAGTAATAAGGACACGAGTGTGTTTCTCTGCCCAGCTTCAAAAGCTGCTCTATGTCATGAACAGCCCCCAGAACTACATCTCGCATCTGCTGCAGTGCTGAAGCCTTATTATAGGGACACACGCTCTTTGCTGGGCCTCGCTTACGTTTTACACCCTCTTCGTGATTATGCTTCTCTACAAAATGGAAGGAGAGATGAAAGAGGCTTTCTCGAGAAAAATCAATAAAGCCTGAGGTTAAAATAATTTCTGGAAGAAGAGCAATTCTTCCACAAAATGCCTCTCACCGTGCTTGTTTTTCTGCATCTCCATGCAGCGGTCATTTATGCGCTGGATGCTGCCTAGCCGCCGCACTCCTTCATTGATGCACAGATTCTGCAGAATTTTATAACAGGACAATGTCAGATGTCAGTGTCAAGAGTCACAGTTTTATTGATTGAATAAATGTAATAGTTTGTGTGCAATCCCAAGTAAAGTCTCAAGTACAGCGTCTTTGAATACTGTGTATTTCATAAAGGAAATACCCTCCTTCTACATAGACACAAACTAGATTGTTCAATGTGCTATAGCAAAGAACATAACACCATTTATCTTGCATTTGTTTCTCCATTTTTTCTATCATGTAGAGGATTTAACAGGCCAATCTTCCCAGCGCTGGCTGTTGTTAGGTGCTACTTGATAGTTCTGTCAGAATCTAAAAGGACTCTTTCAGAATTAGACTGTTTCATAACTGTTCCCCATCATATCCTGTTCTGCAAATGTCTTCTTGGCTTTATTATCCTCTGAAAATCAAGATCAGGTTTTTTCCTACATTTGAAAAAGCCTCTAACGGGCTGATTACACACATAAGAGTCTGCATATGTCAAAGGCAATGAACCTTTGTTAACTTATTTGTTATTTCTGACCATTTGATAAACAAAATTTAGTTATTACACCTGTATAATAAAACCTAGTTAACAAAGCACGTTGGTGAGATTCTTTTAGCTATGCTTAAAACCTCTTTGGGTGGGAGCAGTAAAAATTCGTCTATGAAGGAAAAACTGCCAGTAGGTAAACAAACAAAGACTTGGTGGCGTGCTTTATGAACAATCTGTACTTTTACTGACAAAAAAAATAATAATAGAGACAAATTATACCAGTCAGTTACTTTGAGGAATTAAAGGAAATCTCTCAAGTACTCGAGCTGACAAAAGAGGCACCATGGAGAAACAGTCAAAAGCAACTTCAAGAAAAAAGTATAATCACATCTATTGAATGAATAAGTGTACAGGATGAAGAGATCCATGCAAAAATTTACCAGCTTATGTTCATATATTGTTTGTGTTACTTTAATGAGATAAGATGTTTATGTACTCAACCAATTATGCCATTTGTGTGTTTCTGTGTGTGTGTACCAATGACATTTTTTTTCTACAGTAGAAAAGATTTTTATTTTTTTCCAGTCACTGCTGGGTACATACCTGCCGTGAACCCAGTGTGACCACACTGATGTCCTTGCTAAAGGGGCTCTTTTGTACCTCGTGGACAAACTGGGCCAACTGGGAATGAGTGCGGCTGCAGTAGTAAATCTACAGATATGCATATGAACACAGTTCCACATCAGGAGAATGTCCGATGCTCATAATTATAATAATGTTCTTGTTATAACTATATTAATTCCATCCAACCCATTTAACTCTTACAGCTACAACGTGAAATTTCATACCTTAGTAACATGTTCTTCAACCAGTTCATCATCCTCATCTTTTTCAGCTCCAAAGAATCTGAGGATGCAAGCAAAGAAATCCTTTGTCAATTTCAGACTCTCATTTGGATTATTTATTAATTTTACCCATTAATTCATGTCCTCACTTAGTTTATTAATATATGACTAGAGATAAACTCAAACTAACGATAACTGATGTATGATACACAAAAAAAATAAATAAAAAAAATTGAAAATTGTACCACGTTGTATTTGAACTAGCAACCTTTAGCATACTGAGAGAGGACTGGTGCTCCATTCAAAATCAATGGGACTGTATTGTCAGAGAAAAGTTTAATATTTCAGAAACAAAATTTTGAAAATCTAAATAGAAGCACGCAATGCATAACTGAGCTGCTCGTTTTGGCATATGAACACTCTGTCTATGACACATGGTGCGAGACTAGTTAGCAGGCAAAGAAGAAGAAAAATAGCCAATGACAATAACATGTACTAGGACTGCTGCTTTGCAACAGTTGCGCCAACGAACAAGCAAATCCACTCTGGAAACTAACAAAGACTAAACTGAACTGTAACCAAAAACTCAAGATGAATTCAAACTAATTAGAAAATATGAAACTAAACAATCAGTCTTCCTCACCTGCTCTTAATCTTTGATTCATCATCGCTCTCATATTCTGCAATGATCAGCTCCTCGTCTTCTTGATCTCCTGTTGCCTCGACCTGCTCCTCCTTACTGAGCTGAAGCAGCTTGAATGCCTCATCCTCTTCATAGCTCTATGAACAGACGAAACCATTTCATTCACTTGTATTAAATGACTTGGAATAATTTTAATATCCAAGTAAAGTTCCATTAAATGCTCATGTGCATGATGGCTCACCTTTCGCTTAACCGCATACTTTAGCTGGACATTGTTTCGGATCATTTCTAACCGTTCTTCTCTCTTCTTCCTCTTCAATTCTTCCTCCTGACACCAAACCAATCAACAATAAGCAAATGTTAAGCAAGTTAAAATTCAGACTTCACATACACTTCACATCCAAGTTTTCCTCACCTTCAACTTTGACACTAAATCACGTTCTGCTTTTTTTTGTACAAAGTCAGTGATCCAGTCCAGCTCTGCTGAGGAACTGACTGCAGAGGACTGAGCAGCATTAGTGGAAAGAGCTGCTTCTCCTTCCTGCAACAGAGCAGCTGCCTCCTGCCTCTTTCTCTCCTCATAATCTGTGAGCCAGCTCAGTGCTCCACATATCAGACTCAGTGACTTGCCCTATATTGACATAAATAGACAAAAACCCTTATTAATGAAGTCCAACAGCTTCTGCACAGATATGCTTTTCCCCATGCATTAGTACACACCGTTCCAGTGGGACTTTCAAAGATGCCAACTTTGCCTTTGTCAAGTGCGCTGTACAGGGCTTGCATGAACTCCTCCTGGATGTTATAGGGCTGGTAGGGAAATGGAAACTGTGCCCTACTATTTTCCATGCTCCTAAACCTTCCTGGAAGGAAACACAAAAGCAAAGGTTAGTTTCAACTTTTCATTTCTGATATGGACCTTTGACTTGCCTCTACAAACAACCGATTATAGCACCTTTTCAATCGACGACAAATTCCTTTTTCGGCAGGGCTCATTTTACTACAATAACTAAAGACCTTACCTGTTCACCAATACGTTGCGTCAAGCAGCTAACATTTAAAACCGACAGCTTTTCAGCTATCTTTAAAGTGAAGCGTTCTGCTAGCTAGCAATCTTTCTCCTTACAATCGTATCTTTTATCGAACGTCAATCAAAATCTGAGAAAATAGGACTGCTGTTTCTTACCGTGTATATCATGTAAAATAATGTCTGTTTTTAGTTGTCAATTCCCGGCTATTCAACAACCGCGCCAAAAAACAGAAGTGGTCACAGAGTCTGGCCAATAGGAAACGAGCTACGAGAAGGAGTGCATGTTTTAATGTACAGTAACGTTTGTGCGGACGGGGTTGTGTGTATTTATCCACGATTTTGTCATTTACTGTAACACTGTTTGATGACAAAGAATGTCAGATAGTCTTGATATTAGCAATTTGAGTACTGACCTAAAACATTCGTAAAATAAGCATGAGTATTGCTCGTTGGATTTGCTGCCGCCTTCCAGGTAGATCCTTTAATCTATATTTAACGTCACCTACGCTGGTCCCTCCCCCCCCGGTACCTCCTAGACTGTCTGGAAAGTTCTCTGCCCTTCTTTAAGCGTCTGTGAGATGCCAGATTGCAGGATAACGTGGACTGAAGGCAACATTGCGTAAACCTCGTATTATAAGCCGATAGCAGCGTGACTGGTGAACTATAGCAAAGGACCTCTGTTGCTAGTTGGTAGTTGTGCTGTATTCTCGAGGAAGTTAAGCCAGCTAGTAAACGTTGATCAGGTTGTTGCTTGCAGCACTTGATCTGAGGAGTAGTAGGGGCTTTAGCCACCGTCACTATTAGCCAGTGTTAGTTTGGATTGTTGTGCAAGGCAGAGAAGGGACAGATCAGCTTCATGACGATGACTGCAGAGGAACAAACAAGTGAAGTACAACATACAATCCCCCTGGAAGGAGAGGACATCACACCAAAGAAAGATGGGGGTGTTTTAAAGGTAAAAAATGGTGCTTGATTTGGTACTCAGCACCTAGCTAGCTGAGTGGTTAGCTGACAGCTTGTTTACTGTTCGGCTAGGTTAACGTTAGCTATCGATAGCTATGCTGTCGCATACACTGATTTAAAAAAAAAAATACAACGAAAGCTAACTTTAATGCTAGGAACACCTTATAATGGTATGCAGCGTCACTGTTATGAGAACTAACTCGGTACCAGAATGGCAGAAACAAGACTAGCTGTCAATGAAACGGTCTGCATTTCTAGAAGGGTCTGGAGCCTTGAAGAAACAACTGTCATTTTATTGATGGACACATTCTATATTTCATCCCACAATGAAACACATACTGAGGGATTTAAACATATAGGCCTTGATTCAGAATAAACAAGTTTGCAATTTAGTCGTTCACTAAGCGAAGTGCGTGGTGCGCGTGCAAAGCAGCGATCACAAGCATGTTCAAGAAATTGCTTTCTGATGTTCTTTGATAAATTCTCGTCTTACCTTTTTCTCCAGGTGATCAAAAGGGAAGGTACAGGCACAGAACTGCCTATGTCCGGCGACAAAGTGTTTGTACATTATGTGGGCACACTTCTGGACGGGACTCATTTTGACTCCAGTAGAGACAGAGGAGAGAAGTTTTCCTTTGAGTTGGGCAAAGGTTAGTTTCATATTTGTTATAGCTGCACAACCAGTGCAGGATTTTCTCTACGTTTTAAAAAATGACCTTTTACTAAAGGAAATGAACCAGAATGCATTTAAGGTAACACATAACCACATGACCCCACATAACCACAAAGGGGGTTGCTGCTTGAGACAAGAAAAGCGTTAAAGTGAGTTTTAATCTGGGGAGATCGTGGCTCAAGAGTTGGGAGTTTGCCTTGTAATTGGAAGGTTGCCGGTTCGAGTCCCGGCTTGGACAGTCTCGGTCGATGTGTCCTTGGGCAAGACACTTCACCCGTTGTCTACTGGTGGTGACCAGAGGGCCCGGTGGCGCCAGTGTTCGGCAGCCTCGCCTCTGTCAGTGCACCCCAGGGTGGCTGTGGCTACAATGTAGCTTGCCATCACCAGTGTGTGAATGGGTCGATGACTGGATGTGTAAAGCGCTTTGGGGTCCTTAGGGACTAGTAAAGTGCTATATAAATACAGGCCATTTACCATGTAATCTACCTTTCCCCCCATAGGACAAGTAATAAAGGCTTGGGACATCGGTGTAGCCACAATGAAAATTGGAGAGTTGTGCCAGCTCATCTGTAAGCCAGAGTATGCCTATGGCTCTGCAGGCAGCCCACCCAAGATACCACCCAGTGCCACTCTTGTTTTTGAGGTAAGGATGCCAGTTTTCATTGTCCATTAAGTACTTTTAACTGTGTAGTTTGAGATACTATATATCTGGGCTCCCATGATAGGATAGAAATTGAGAAGTGGCTTCAATTCAGCAAGTACAAAATACTTTACAATCTTTTTGCTTCCACGTTTATAAATTACCTTTACAGTTCAGGTTACACATTGCATATTTCAGTCAGTCTGTCTCAGTTGTCTTTGCAGTGGATTTCAGCTGTGAATCATAAAATGCTTAAATTTAGCATTTAGGATAACTTAAATAATTTTTCTGATAATGCTTATCTCTTTAAGTGGTATCTCTGTGGCCAGACTTGCAAAAAAGCAAATCATGATAAGCAGTTTCACAATTTGAATCTCCACTGTGCTTATAGTTGTTGCTTCTGATGGTGTTAAAAATTGTTATACAGCCTTCTGTTTTTATTGTTTTGTATAAAATCAGTTGTTACCTTTTCATACATTTAGGATAACTGTTGTAACCTTTTGTTTAAAGACTATAGTAAAAGAAAAGGAAAAAAATACAAACCTGAATGACTGCTCCCCCCACCCCCTGCCCCCAAAAGAACTAATCTTTTGAGGAAAAAATTGGGAACTTTGGAAATTATATTGAAAAAGTTGTTGTTTTTTGTTGTTGTTTTTTAATGAAAAGATATACATTTTTTGTCACATGTCTACACGCTTATAGGTGGAACTGTTTGAATTTAGAGGGGAAGACATAACGGAAGAAGAGGATGGAGGAATCATCCGACGCATTATCACTAAAGGAGAGGGATATTCTAAACCTAATGAAGGAGCAGCTGTTGAAGGTAATGCATCCAGAAATGTGTTTGATACAATTAATTTCATGTTTTATATTTCCATCCTTGGAAAGTAGAGTCCCTGGTTAAATGTGTTTAAGTCTGAGAGCATATTGAGGATAATAATCTTTTCAAACTAAGGGATACCACAGGGAAAATGAAACGGCATTAAAAGAAACAGCGTTGCCTTTGGTTATGGTCTTATATGTCCCTTATTATGTTTTAACAAACCCACTGAATAATAATTCAGTAACCGATTGGTTTTATCACCAAGAGTGGACTTGCAGACATAACAAAGAAACTACTTTCTGCTGCGCCCTTGTCACAAGGGGTTGCTAGAGCAAGTAGCTTCGCATGTTTGATTTGTGAGTTTTACACTTCTAGGCGCAACCACAGAAGGATTTGTGACTCCAGCTGGAGTTAAACGAGCAGCATTTTACTTGCCAAGTCAGTGTCTAAACCAGCGGTCCCCAACCCCCGGACCGGTAGCGGTCCGTGAGTCGTTTGGTACCGGGCCGCAAGAGTTGAGGCTCTGGTGTAATATGTCTGGTTGTCAGGGTTTTTATCAGTTTTCAGCGTTATTTTGTTATCGTTTTTATCATTAACTCTGTTTTCCTGGGTCTTTTCACGTGTGTTATGAATAAATCTTCTTTTTTTCGGTACCGGTACTAGTTTTATTTTGTTGTATTTATCCGCGACACCTTAAAGGCCGGTCCGTGAAAATATTGTCAGGCATAAACCGGTGTGTGGCGCAAAAAAGGTTGGGGACCGCTGGTCTAAACCACTACAATATAGAGCTATTCAAAAGGTAAACCCGCAGATATCCAATTTCAGCAATGGTCCAGGTGATGTATTGGGCTTGATTAAAACCTCGATTATACTTTCCAAGTCTGCGAGCTTGAGTGGCATTCACTTTTGTTTTGTTCCCCCCCCTTTGGACCAACTGTGTTACAATGCTGTGGTTGCAGCCATTCCACAACTCTCTATGAATGGTACTTATGGCCATTAATCAATGGTCTTTGATCAATGGTCATGACAATTTGCATATTAATGATCACTCAGTGGGCTAGTTTCAATCATTGTGCAAAGGTACTGTTTATAAGCGTGGTTAAACCTGCAATCAGCTGAGACTGAAGAGCTCACATGGATGAGTGACGAAATGTTTCTCCAACTGAAACCGCTACGTCTAGATGAACAAAATCAACTTTTTGGGAGTTCGGGGAGAATTTACATTTCAGCCCACCGAATATGCACACAAGTATAACAGGAATGTCTACTCGGGTCTCCAGCTCATCAGTGTGACTGTAAATGCTCAAAGATGACTGTAAGACAGTTTTGGTTTCTTTAAGAAACTGAGTCTGTAATCATACAAGTACTATTACACGGAATTCTTAAGGTTCCTAAAAATGAGACCGAATGATGGAAAAGAACTTCACTGACACTTTAGAAATGGCTGACTTTGTAACGTGGCAGTCTGCCAAGAAATCAAGACTGAGTGGGACATGAACTAACCTGAACATTTTCTGTCTTCTTCAGTAACCGTGATAGGGACCTGCGATGACAGTGTATTTGACGAGAGGGAATTAAAGTTTGAAATTGGAGATGGCGAGAGTTTCGGTTTGCCAGCTGGAGTCGAGAAGGCTATCATGGCTATGGAACAGGGAGAGGAGGCGGTCTTCACAATTAAACCTAAGTATGTTCACATGTGCAAATTCTTACCACTAACTTCATAGTGGTGACATTTTATGTTCATATGAAGTCAGTCCAATTTTAGACTCTTGAACTGCTTTTTCTGCAGCTCTCAGGCATCTCTTTACAGAATATTTCCACAGTTTAAAGATGCTGCTGTAATAGTAAATAAACATTAATTTCTGCAAGAATTAGCTACATGAATTTTTAACTGGATAGTTGTGCAGTCTTTGGTTTTAAGCTAAGTGACAGCATGAGTAATGACTAATATAATCAACTATAACGGTTAAGCTTTGCAATGTGATTAAACAGGAAAATGGCTGCAGAATTATCTGTTTTTTTTGCAGTATCCAATACCTTAACTTAAATGGTTTTTAAGTTGCACACCAGCAGTGATTTTTGTGCCCTTTACTCATGACTAATGATATGTTTGTCTGATTTGTTAGATATGGTTTCGGGAATGCAGGAAACGCAAAGTTTAACATTCCTGGTGGAGCGACATTGCAGTACAAGATTAAACTAACAGCCTTTGAGAAGGTAAGGTGGGAGTGTGTGGCAAACACAGCAGCACTTTAGATGCTCATTTACAATATTTTCATTAAAAAGGAAAATGTGTTCTTTCTATTTTAGGCTAAGGAATCATGGGAAATGAACACCTCAGAAAAGCTGGAGCAGAGCAGCATTGTCAAAGAGAAGGGAACACAGTATTTTAAGGTTTGTTTTGTTTTTTGTTTTAAATTTAAGAAGTGATCCTGTCTTGGATTTCAAGATGTTTTGTGATGCAATGGTTTATATGCTTCAGGAGGGAAAATATAAGCATGCATCAGTGCAGTACAAAAGGATTGTGTCATGGCTGGAACATGAATCTGGTTTGTCAGAAGAGGACGATAAGAAGGCGAAAGCACTGCAGCTCGCTGCACACCTGAATTTGGCCATGTGCTTCCTTAAACTACAGGAGCCAAACAAAGCCCTGGAACACTGTGACAAGGTATCTGGTAACTGTTCTTTGTCTTAAAGCAGCACGTGTGTGTGTGTGATCAGTGGTTTGTCTTGGTTTTTGCTTAAATACTGAAAACATTTAATTATATTTATGTAATTATATTTAATTATGTTATAGTCGATGGAGTTGGATGCATCCAATGAAAAGGCGTTTTTCCGAAGGGGAGAGGCACTGTTTGGAATGAACGAGTTTGAGAAGGCGAGAGATGATTTCCAAAAAGTGGTTCAGCTGTATCCTGCCAACAAAGCTGCCAAGAACCAGGTATAACACAGTGTGCCTTTGATGTGTAATTCAAGCAGCTTTCAATGTTGAAATTTAATCAATCTAAGATGATATTTAATTTTAAAAAAAAATCTGTCTCTCTCTGTTATGGCAGTTACAATTCAGTTTGGTTAATGTGTCTAATTTTATTGTACTACCATCCAAAATGAGACAGGTGAATGTTTAATTTATTTTCATGGTGTAAACGAAAGTTTATACTGGATTCATTTAGTAACAAACCAGGATGGGTGAACAAATATGACTGTGCTTCTGGGATTGAAAACGCTGTTTTTTTTTTTAGGTCACTGGTCATAAAACAACTGTTCTGCATAGCCAGTCTTTTAGTTGTTGTTGTACCCATAACATATCTGGAAATACAGCAGGGTGACGTCTGCTTTATGTTCTTCCAGGTGCTACTTTGTCAGAAACGTATAAAGGAGCAGCACGAGAAGGACAAACGCATCTATGCCAACATGTTCCAGAAATTTGCAGAGAGGGATTCAAAGGTGATGGATCTGTTTACTAAA